GGTTTTAAGTGTGACAATCGCTATGTTATACCATATAACAAAGTACTGTTACTAAGATATAAGGCTCACATCAACGTCGAGTGGTGCAATCAATCAGGTTCTATCAAATACTTATTCAAGTATATTACTAAAGGACTAGATCGTGTCGCTGTTGTGGTTGAGCCAGCTATGAAAGATAATGAAAAAGACAAGAGTACAACCAGGACAACCCAAAAAAAAACGCAGCCACCAAAGAATACTACGGATAGCAACAATTCAAACGAGATAAAAGACTTCTTCGACTGCAGGTTGGTTATTTAAAATTTCATAAAATTCATTGGAAGCTGATTCAACTAAGTCGTTTAACTTATTAATGATAACTTAATATGCAGGTATGTTTCTGCATGTGAAGCCGGCTGGAGAATTTTAAAAAATCCTATCTGTTACAGATCTACATCAGTTCAAAGGTTATCATTCCATTTACCAGGAAAACACCTCATTTTTTTTAAGGGAGATGATGAAATGAAAACAGTTCTGGATAAGGGAGAGTTAGTGCTTTCAATGTTTCTAGCATGGTTTGAATTGAATAAGGTCAGCTCCATAGCTTCAGGACTGACGTATGCGCAGATACCGGAACATTTTACATGGGATAGTAAGAGGAAACAGTTTAACTTGCGCAAGAGACGGCCAAGTTCTACCATTGGGAGAATCAACTATGTTCCAATAAGTATGGAAGATGGATATTATTTAAGAGTGCTTCTGAACACACAGATTGGTCCACAATGTTTTGATGATCTAAAAACCGTGAATGGAGTGGTTTATAAAACATTCAAAGAGGCATGCTTCCATCTGGGATTGCTTGACAATGATCAGGAATATATAGATGATATAGTCAGAACCAGTTTTTGGAGTACTGGGAATTTTTTGCGGCGCTTATTCGTTGTTATGCTTCAATCTTATAGTTTGTCACAACCAGAAGTTGTTTGGGAAAAAACTTGGGAACTACTATCAGAAGATATAGAAAACGAAAGGAGAGAATATTTCAAGAGACCAGGTAAAAAATATTCTATTACATTCCAAACACAAGTACGTGCACGTACGTAATAGTAATTATAGATTATCATTTTACAAAGTCTCGGATCCTATTTATATATATATATGTATGTTTATATACTTGTGCAGAACTCACTCTAGATGATGAGGACAAGAAGAAATTGGCGTTACTTAATATTGATTGCATCTTAAAAAGCAACGGAACATCTTTGGCAGCCTTTAGGACAATGCCTCAAATACCAGAAGATAGTAGGGATGACACTAATGTTTTGATTCTTGATGAAAAGAACTATGATCGTGAAGAGCAGAAGGAAAAACATGATAGATGGGTTAAACAGATGACTGATGAGCAAAAACAAATCTATGAAGAAATAATGGAAGCAGTTGACAATGACATGGGAGGTGTATTCTTTGTTTATGGGTTTGGAGGTACAGGAAAAACATTTATATACAAGACTTTGTCAGCAGCATTGAGATCTAGAGGATCGATTGTCCTAAACGTTGCTTCCAGTGGCATAGCTTCTTTGTTGTTAGCTGGTGGAAGAACTGCACACTCAAGGTTTGGAATCCCACTAAACCCTCACGAAGGTAGTGTATGTACAATGAGCCCTGGAACAGATCAAGCACAATTGGTGGCTGAAGCATCTTTAATAATTTGGGATGAGGCTCCAATGATGAGCAGACATTGCTTTGAGTCTTTAGATAGAAGTCTGTCAGATATAATTAAAGGAGGTGGGAAAAAGCCTTTTGGGGGTAAAGTGGTTGTGTTTGGAGGAGATTTCAGACAAGTGTTACCAATAATCCCAAATGCAGGTAGAGCCGAAATCTGTATGACTGCACTCAATGCTTCTTATATATGGGAGCATTGTAAAGTTTTGAAACTAACCAAAAATATGAGGCTTCTATCAAATAATTTGAGCGTGACAGAGGCAACAGAGCTAAAGGAGTTTTCAGAATGGATCTTGGCAGTTGGGGATGGGAAGATAGCTCAACCTAACGATGGAGAAGTCATGATTGATATTCCAGATGAATTTTTGATTACGGAAGCTACAAATCCTATTGAAGCAATAACAAGAGAGATTTATGGAGATACATCTCTCTTGAAAGATAAAAAGGATCCAATCTTCTTCCAACAGAGAGCTATTTTATGTCCAACGAATGAGGACGTTGGCATTATTAATGAATATATGCTAGATCAGCTTGAAGGTAAAACGAATTTTTTAATATTTTTACATATAAGTTATTAGAATATAAACATTATAGTTAGAAAACGTTTTGCTGTTAATTAATAGTTCTCATTGATTGTTTGAAGGTGAGGAAAGAACATACCTAAGCTCAGATTCTATAGACCCTGCTGACAAGAAATCAGAGAACAATCCAGTTTTAACTCCTGATTTCTTGAACAACATGAAGGCATCTGGCTTGCCCAATCATAAAATAAGGTTGAAAGTAGGTTGCCCAGTTATGTGTCTAAAGAATATAGATCCAAGAGGAGGGCTAATGAATGGTACAAGGTTGCAGATTACACAATTAGCTGAGTTTGTTTTGGAAGCTATCATTATCACAGGGGACAAGGTTGGAGATAAAGTTCTTATACCT